CCCTGTGTTTTTTCTATATGTGTCACAACGCAGTGGAATCAGGCGCTCCTCAATTTTTAGCCCTTTAGAGTTATTGGTATCATCTTGAGGATTGTTCCTTTGCCTTGCTTTGATGAAAAAAATCATTTATTTTGAATAGAAAGTTGAGATATTTGCGATTGAAGGAGATAAGGTTGCCTGGTTTCAGAGGTAAAATTAGCAAAAAAATGGCTGCCAAGGTTTGGTGACTTCCATAGCTTAAGAGTCCTTGGTAACTGCAAATATTTGTTGTGCCATTAATCAACATTTCCCCATAAAATCCACACATAAAAGTGTTTTTGAATGGACATGCTAGGTGTTGAGCCAAAAAACAAAAATTGGAGAAAAAAGATTCCAAACAGGACAAAAAGATGCCGATTTCTTGGATTTAATTATTTTGACGAGCGTCTGATTTCACCACGATGCCTTACATATAATTCCACTGTGTAAAACGGTCACCTGTCCAACGCTGCCGCGGCCACCATATTTTATCACGCAACCCCTTCCAGACCAAACAATAACTCCTGTCTTATATACGTCCACCTCTCTCATCGCCCAAGGTTTTGTCATAAATTATGTATTGGCCCTTGATGTTGTGGACGAGCCGTGATAATCCAATCAACTGTCGTTGTTAGGTAGTCCCTCCAACCAACCGTATTGCGTAGGCCCCTCCCACTGTTGACCAACAGGTAACAATAAACTTTCAGCTGCTGGTGAGGTAAGCGTGTGATCCCTCAATACCGATAAGCCCTGCCCACAACTCGTTGGTAAGATGTGTCGTCACTGTTTACCCAGTCTGTAACAAAGTAACAATGGACGTCAACATGAACTTGCAACAGAAGCTTTGCTCATTCTCCGAGTGGTGGCGACCCATGTGTTTGTTTATGGCACTCTGTCTTCCTCATCTGACACATTTCGTTTTATTGTCACCTTTGCACAAAATCAGCAACAAAATAAAAAAGCTAACAAAGTACAAACCAACAGAAACAACAATAACAACAACAACAATGTGGCTGCCTTCGGTTGGGACCTCAGACGGAAATGTTTTTTTTCTTCATTTTGATCAGTCCTGCCCAAGACAGCCACCTGTCTTATACGGCCACTTTTCTCTTTGACAAAGGGTGGCCGTCTTACACAGGTTCGACTGTATATTATATTCTGTTTCACCCACAAATATGAAACAGGTGTTAACCCAGTTCTGCTGAACTTGTGCTTCAGAGGACGCCCCATTTACGAGCCACCTCGGTTTCTGAGTGCCAGCCAGGCGGCCCAGCAGTTGCTTGACATTGTAGAGAGAAGAGACAAGGACCAGAAAACTGATGCGGGTACGACCTCTCTCTTACACTAAAGTTTAAAATACATTTCAACAACCATAGAATTTACCTTGTGTACAAAAACTGGATTTGCACCAAGATAAAGACGAATTTTACATACAGTGCTCCACTTCTAAGATGTTATGTCTAATAAATCGAGGAAAAGTTGGATGATGTGCTGATGGGATCTTAATCAGATAAGGGCAGGGAGCAAGCCATGATGAGGTTTTAAGTAATGTGAACTTGGTTTGGAGTAAACTTTGGAGTTTCCCACACACTAGTGAGAGTTATTGATCAGACTGATCAACAGAAATTATCCCATTTCCTGACCGAGAAACATTCAAATGTAGATAATTTGATTTCATTCAGGCTTTTGTCATAGTTTTATTATTAACTGTTTATGCTGTTCCCAGATTACACACCTTTCTCATCATTATCGTTATGCTGCACTAAACATTCCTAATATTTTGTACACGCCATCGTCACAGTTGTATTTAGCTATAAACTATGCTTTTCTTGCAATATGCCCCTTCCTCACTGTAATTTTGTACCGAAGTTAACATTCCTCAGATTTCATTCTGGTTGCAACTTTATGCAGTTGTGAGGACCGTAAAACTCTTACCACCACCCCCCCCCCCCCAAAAAAAAAAACCCCAAACAATTTCATTCACACTATCATCATTATAATGTAAAGAACTTTGTACAATACTCCTCCAAGATTATGCACCTTCCTCATTGTTACACTGCCCTGGACATTCCCCAGATTTAACCCCTTCCTCTATCTGCGTGGCTGTAGCCAGAGTTGGTGCGTCTGACCAAAAAATTTCTACGGCAACCTTGAAGGAGATGGCAGCGCTGGACATGGGCCCTCCTTTGCACTCAATGGTCATCCCAGGCCACATGCATCCACTGGAGAAGCAAATGCTGCGACTTTTTGCTGCCAGTGATCAAGTCAAAAATGATCTCGCCTCAGAGGATGAGAGATAACATTAGCGACTGTGTAATGTTTAAATGAACTGACCAATAAAAGCAAAACAGGAAAAATATAGTCAAGATCTGTGTGTGAATTTTTCTTCATTTTATACTAGCCATGGGAATAAAAGTAAAGGAAAACAAACTAATTGCTATATTTCATCTTGGTTCTCATCCTTGGAGGCAATAGTTATGACACTTTTGGACCTCTCATCCTTCCGAAATTTTAACATTTTTGTTTTCCATAGGGGCTTTTCAAATATTACTATAATCTTGCACCTTTTGGGGAACTTTTTGCTGTTCCAGAACAGCATAGGGGGAACTGCTGCTTTATTTTTCCTCTTCTTTACTATCATCATTTCCCTCTACTTTTTTTGTATGTTTGTCACTCTCTTGTGAACAATTTCCAGGGTGCCTTGATTGTCGAAGCAGACTTTGTCACTTGTGCTGTCGATGCTAGAGGTGAGCAGAGTAAGCCAGATTCCCCGTTTCGACTTCTCTGTTGACATCCACCCTTTGGCCCTCATGTGACCTTATGCAGTTGCGAGCGCCATAAAACCTTACTTAAACAAGCAGTATCATGGCAGGTGTTACTCTCCCCCCCCCCCTCCCCGCATATTAAAACTATCATCCCCCCACCTGCAGGGGCAATTAATTATTATACAATCATGCACACATATCACGAGCTTGGAAAACTGAAAATAACGGATAGCTCGTACAGTTTGCCGTTCCCCGCCTGATTTACCTGATTAAAGATGTGGTAAACATATTTATTGTTAAACCCCAATGTGTTTGAGTTGTACGTGCCCAACTGTATCTCTATAGCAATATATCCTCAGCCTTTTTGTTAACATCTTGTCAGCTTAAAACTTGAAATAACATTGACTACGAGAATGTGAGTAAGTACCGATACAATAATATTTCAAAATTAAAGTTAAAATGGACACTTGTCCCTTTTCATTTTTGCCGTTTTACAATACATTGCCCAAGACATCCACTTTTCTTCTTGATTGGCCGCCTTGAACAATTCCAACAGTAATATAATATCATTTATCTTAAGGCTCTGACAACACAAAGCTACCAACTGCAACACAATACAACAAAATTAACTATATACTTTTACAGATAAAAAACAAGTAAAGAAAATTGTTGCCAATAAAATCATTTTTATTGATACTCAGGCAGAAGTACACAATACTCTAGGACATATTATTTCCTTTGTCATATCTCTTGTAAAAAAGAAAAAGAAAAAAATTCAAAATTAAGGTTTCCATAAACAGGGCATGTGCCAAAGTTATTGTTACAAAGAAAATATTTAAGCAGAATTTGCCTCAGACAGATGCTGAGAATCACAATGATAAGCTACTGTATTTTAAGTCAGTATATCATATGTAAAGCAAGTTGTTCTCCTTTGTTGGTTGATCATTTAAGTTATAATCAACATCCAAAACATAATTCCACCCTATATCAACAACAAGCAGCTGTCTTTTACTGGGTCCCAACAGCAGTGTAAAGTTCATACCGCATATATTGTGTTGATACACAAAGTTTGCCACACAAAAACACGTGGACTGTTCAATAGTTCACAACAGTGCAGGATCAAAATAGTTTTAATAGAAATCTTTAACCAAGGTATTAAAAATCACTCGAGAAAGAAAAAAATTGTTATGCAATGTCATGAAGGCCTTGAAAGAGCCAGGGCAAAACAAGGTGAAGCATTGAAGGGATAAATAAAAAACCGTTACCTTAATTAATGAACAGGTTTTTATTTACAAGTACCATTCTCCACAAGCCACAAGTGTTGAACCCCCCCAATTCCCAGGCAGGAAAAAAAAATCATCTTGAAAGAAATCACTCAACTGTATGTTACAGTAGGGTATAATGAGGATATTACATGTATTCCTTACATACAAATTTTGAATCTTTTAAAGTGCATATGGCACAACAAATAGGAATCTTTTTTCCTGAACTATACACATATTTTCAGCATTACAAATAGGTCAGTCACTTATACTTCTTTGATAATACTGAGTCTGTATAACCATGAATCAATTTATATATATAGATCTAATACAGTAGAAGCCGCTTAAACCGAACATGGTCAATCCAAAAACAGGGGTACACTGACAGAAGACAGAATCCCTGCTTTTAATTTTTTCACTATTTCAGTTTGAGCAATCTCTCACTCTAAACCAAAAACAAGGCATATCTGAAGAAAAGCTGGCAGTCCCACAGATTTTGTTTTTGTTTTCGTAAGAGTTTAACAGCGCTTGCAACACAATTAGGTCATACATGTGCCAAAGATTAGAGGAGTTACTATTACAAGAGAATCACTATCCAGTGCCAAAGATTAGAGGAGTTACTGTTACAAGAGAATCACTATCCAGTGCCAGATCTGCTACAGACACAAGCGATCATGGTTTCCATTCATTCCTTTCCTCGGAGGCTCTCAAAAAAGCTACGTTTCCCTGACCCATTTGTTTACGTTTCCTAAGTATGTTGTTCTGGCCCTACCCCTGCCTCATTTGCCTTCAATTTTGCCAGTGAGAGGTAGATGTTCAAGACCCTCATGTCTATTCAGGTGTCCTAAAAACTGCATTTGTCGTTTCCTGATTGATTTTAACATTGAGCGTCCCATGTGGGCTTCATCAAGTAAGCAGTATCTCATTTGATTTATAAGAGAATAACAAACAAACAAACAAACAAAAAGGAAGAAAAGAGATAAAAACGATAGATGTTTGATAGGAAAGAAAGAGCAACCCACACCAGAGTACTCGCCATCCATGCAGCCTTCGGTTTAAACGGACTTCACTGTAATATGTCAGGACATTAACACCACAGATTTTTACATTTTATTAAAAGAATGATGCTTGGAAAGCAGTAATGTACATATTTGAACAGCAGGAAATATCATCCGCGAAACACAATTGAATAATCATCTGCGAAACCCATTTGAACAATTTAATATCAGGTATGCGTGAGTTGTGTGAATACAAGAGTACAGGAAGAAGAAAGTTCATGGATAATTATGCTTAACTAAGCTGGGATGGTTTCTTTGCAGACAAGCGGTATCTGTACAGCACCAATCTTCCTACAAACCATAAAGTATAAATCTGATCAGTATTCCTTGAGACACCCAATCCAAATGCTGGAACTGCTTCACCTTCATGTGCTAAATACTTCTGATATCAATTCAAATCCAAAGCACTTGAACATTTGCAAAGGCCCCAGGACTGGACACGAGGATATTTATCCCTTAGAACAACAATTTTTTGCATCCTACACTGTCTACAGGTCGAAATGAGAGTCAAGTTAGTAATTAACAGATTGACAGTCATAATAATAATTACTGCATTTGTATAGTGCATATCCATGCTCTACAGTGTGCTCAGTGCTCTTTACAATTATCATTACCCCAGCACACACTAGGACACTCAGAAATATTCTCAGCTTCCCAGGAAGCAAAATGTACAGACTGCCGATCAAGCACTAACACACTAACAAGCTGACAAGAGAATTTAATGCGATAATAGAATTAATGCAGTAGTATTAGTACTAACTCCACATAAATATATTGTATTTGAAAACCCCTTCTCTCCTTCAACAGCAATAATGTGTTTGATTGACTGAAGACTCGCAGCCATTTCACACATGTATGACATATTGGCAACACAGAAGTTAAAAAATGTATGGTTAAAAAGAAATTCATTAAACTTATTCATACCCTGCTTATATGTTTTTAAATGCATCAAGACTAGCCATTTTCTCAGAATAACAGTTCAAAATAGTGTAAGCAATCAGAATATTACCAAGCAAAATATGCCCCCAGAATTGGATAGTTCATTGTTCTCTTCCTTCACGCGTTACATATGAGCTAAACGCTAAACAAGAGTAAAAAACATGGCCCATGAAATATTGACTGGCCTTGCAGACAGCGCCAGCAAAAAAATGACCATGACATTTGATTTCCATAGCTGTCTTCAGAATCTAATAACTACTTCAATACATATCTTTTGCTTCTCGAGTAAACATATAACTACAAATAATATAGAGCTAAAGTTCTATGATTAGATATTGTAACAGACCGCAGTCTGAACCACTTTGTCCTGAATTAAATATCATGATCACTCTTTGTCGAAAAACAAGGTAGGATAAAAAGGCTAGCCAACCTTTTCAAAACCCAATCAGTCAGAGATACCAATGCTAGAGCATCCGCATACACAAGAAAGAACAAAATTACATCTAAGTGGGACTGGTTTTGGAGTACTGTAAGTGTAAGTGATAAGGTTTCTCAAATTCCAGACTGCCAAATCTGGGACAGTCCCAGGAAAGTTGGGTCTGTTGGCAAGCTTGCATAATTTATTAACTGAGCCTAACGAAAATTTTACAGCACAACACAAAGAGCGAATGTTTATATCAAGCCTCTACAGCCATTACGCTCAGTCTTCAGTTCTTCACCAGACCTATACAACAGTTACAAACACAAATAGTGGAACTTGTCTTTTATTATTTGAGTTTTGCAAAACTGTGCACAGGGGAGCTTTTACTCTTTCGACACACTTTCCCCAACTTGTACTATTTTAATGAGCACAAATGAGCATAAAAGACCTCAAAAGCATTTTGCCTATACTCCAGCAGACTAGAAACTCCACCATACTTTTCCAAACAGAAATGCAAATATATACCCTAAGTAATCCACTGACCATGCTGGGAGGAACTAAGTATCAAAGCAAGTCTTTTGGCATGATGAAATAGCTAACCAGTAACATGTTTCAACTAACAAGGAAAACAAACAGATTTTTTTTCAGTTCTCTATTACTAGACCTGAATTGAGACCTCAAGATTAAAGACACAGTATGCCCAAGTCTTAATAATTACTTCTCCTACGCGATTTGTTGTATGACTACACTTTGAAAACGCACCATCATCAAATTAGCTCATCCGAGAAAGCATGTATTTGTATTCATGCAGATTGGTGTATAGACAGCTATGCATCTGTGAAATAGCAATACAGAATTATAACAAAGAGAAGTGGCGTTACATCGTAGAGCAAGTCATCGGTCCTAAAGGAAGTGTAACAGATATGTTTTTTTTGCAAGCAATACATACACCTGGCACTATGTATTTTCAAGCAATGCACCTGATGCATGCATGTTTTATTTTCCCACGAAGCGAGCACATCTAATGTTATGTCTGGTGACCTACAACAAAATAGAACTGCCTTCAATTTTAACCAAGACTTCATTCTTTGGTCAGTGAAAAGATGTTTCATGATTGTGAACTGAGTAAGAGAAATGCACTGCAATGAATTTTGAACTTCTCTCCATGAAGCTTCACTCATTTCGAAAGATAGGATCTATCAAAATGCCAGAGCTAGATCACGATATGAAATGCTATCATAAAAGTAGCAGAGCAGACGATCAGGAGTATTCAGACAAAGAATTACTCCAGAAACAAGTCCCTCTATGAACCATTAAACAAAAAGTAGAATGAAAACAATATTATTCTTGAGAAGAATTTCATTTGAACACAATGTCTACAATTTCATGAGGTAAAAAGAAAGTGGGGAAAATAAACTGTGCCTTTTGCTCTGCTATGATGTGAACACAATGCAAAAAACGTGTCCTGATGTTACCACCTTGTGTAAAAAATATGACAAATCAATAAATATGACAGTGAAATAAGACGGAATGGCACTGGTCTCCCAGTAGCTACGAGATAAAATCCTGCAGCAAAGCAGGTTGTTCAAAGATTCGTAAATGCAAATTTCAAGAATTGGCTCCTCATCTAAATTAATAATACAACAGCAGTTACAAATTACAATTGTGCACAAACGCACAGACACAACAACAATTAAAGAAAAATCCAGGCCAGGTAAATCTTTTTACACAAAGGTACAGTCTTCCATCTAAAGTCATAAACCAAACAGGGACACGCCTGACCACGTCTTTACTCACTCTTCACTGCACACCAAAAGTCACACATGGTCACTCACGTTATGTGAGGTTCAGAACAGAACAAAGCCCCAAAAATTGCTGAATATGCAACAGTACATTATAATACATATATATATGTATCACTCGAGATTCCATCTGAACACCTCAGAACCTAAGGAAACACGGTTTTTTTTGTATAGTTGCATAAGAGGAACTCAATCTTGACCTTAACAAAGCCTAGCAAAGTAAAAATAACCAAACCCGTTTCACAGCATTTTAGTGCTGCAGACTTAACATTCAGGTGTAAAACAGACTCAGTCAAAAGTAACGGTTCGAAGAGCATTGTTTTCAGCAATCTCAAACGTGGCAACGGCACCGTCATTGAACTTGAAAGACATCCCTCCATCCACCACCAGACAGGCGTCCCACATGCGCGACCGTATTGTGATTCTGAAAGGAAAAGGAATGAAAAAAAAACCCATTTAAATAACAGACATGATACCTTCATTTGTTTCCCCCACCACCCCAGTTTTTTGTTTCCCGTCACTGGCTCTTATAAGGTCGCTTTTAGGTACAAGGGGGCTGTACCGAAAAATGCTGTTTTGAAAAAATCTAAGGTAAAGTTTTTGACTCTGATTCAGTTTCTTTAAAAGACAAGGAGTTTTCTCTATAACCAAACAAATATACACACCAATGAAACCAAACTATATGTAGAGCAATGCCCACTTTTTCGTGTAGGTCAAGATTTCTCGAAACCCCCATCTGGGTCAGCTTGCTTGTCCTTAAAAGCGACCATTTATCTGTTTAAATCATTTATCAGTTTGATCAAAATTTTTATTACTAATATTTATTGATCTTCTACAATACTAAATATGTGACACACAAAAGATTAAAAAGCAGATTTCTAACAAAGACTACAGCGGTTATTCTCTGCTTTCCAACATTTAACCAACAGCTGAGAAACACATGTAATCTCTATAATATAAGTTGATAATTACAAAGCTCCATTCGACAATTCCAAGAAAAAGAAAAGTACCAGGTATCTTTGCAAATAGATGTTTTCCCTAGGCTCGTCATTACAAAGAAATTTCAAGAGGAAATACACTAGAATTTGTTTTTAATATGCTCCTTTCCAACATCAGCGTATATTTATATATAACAGTTTGCATGCAATAAACAAAGCCACATCACACTCATAATCAGATATTTGGCACACAAAGGCATACAAATCACATACATTTTTCTTCACTAACATTTTACCTACATAACAAAAGGCAGAGAATGTATTTCTTGCTTGATTCGAAAGCAGTTTTAGTTAGGTTTTACGGCGCTCGTAATTGCACAAGGTCATATGAGCACCAAGGAGTGGATGTCAACACAGAAGTCAAAACGGGAAATCAGGCTTACTCGCCTCAACAGCACTGTCTGCTTCGACTATCAAGGCACCCAAGAAATAGCAGTTCACAAGAGAGTGACAAACATACAAAAGAAGTAGAGGAAAATGACGATAGTAAAGATGAGGAAAGAAAAAGCAGCAGTTCCAGCTATGTTGTTCCGGCACAGTATGAGTATGACAATGATAAATCAGTCCATTCACAATTCTACTGTGCATAAGAACATGTTAACATCGCCCCCTTTGGAAATGGCCTAAGTACAACTTCAGTCAGTAGCACTGCCCTGGTGGGGGGGGGGGGGAGGGATTCAAAAACAGTTTTGACAGAAAGAAACTTACTTTTTAGCAAAAGAACCAGTGCGCTCCACATGAAAGACAGCTGAAAACAAGAGTACAACAAAACAAAATCAGTAATCTCAGGGGAACAATGGAGTCAAGCAAAGAGTGTAGACTAGAGGGACGGATGTAAGACATCAGCTCCTTCCAGTCACAGATCTGGTACATTTTCTAATAAAGACATAAAGACGAATCTTGCTTACAAAAATTGCTTCAACATGCATGTCTTCATAGGCAATGACCCCATTACATTTATCTACAGATACTGACCTTCTACCCATCATTTACTTACTTCAACACATCTCACCCTCCTTTTACTAGGAAAAGTTTCTTTTCACCCACCATAACTGCCTCAAACAGGTTGCACAGAATAAGTGACAAATAAATATAAATATCAAGTACATGTAGTAATTTTCCACAGCACTTCAAACACAAAAATAATGTGATAAAGGGAAGCCAGCCAGACCTAAATATCAAAATTTGGATGCAAATCATCTAAATTCCCCCCCCCCCCCCCAAATCTGTCCCTGAAACAAATTTAAAAGGCAAAAAAAAACATGAAGTTAAACTAACCACATTTTTATTTTGTGAACCTAGAAACAAATCTTAACAATGAGACCAACAATGACCAATAATAACATTCTAAAGCATAATTATTTCAAAGAGCGTTATAACGGCCTCAACGTCATCAATCAATAAAAATTGAGACCACAATACATTCATTTCATGTCACTGAGGAATAAAACCTTGGTTGTACGCAAAACAGAAATATTATACTGGTATTAAATTCACATTCCATTAACAGTATCAATTACAAATAAACAAACAGTTTACTGGTACTATTCACCGTTTTTAATAGGGTCTCTGATGGTGTAAGCCATCAAAGGTTCACTGGGGTCAAAGCGGAGACTGCTGTTGAACGTGTCCATAATCTCCTCCGTCATGGCCTCATCACCAACGGGAAAGTCACAGCCAGATACCTGATTGGCTGAAAACAAATGGTAGAGAGTTAACTGTAAACTCTTGTTTTGATAGATCTAGTACACCTATGCCATGTGTTTAGCACATCTGATTCTCTGTGATAGAAAAAAAAAGATATAAAAAGGCTCAACTTCAAAGACCGACACAGAGATAGTCACAGAATACAATGAACAGTGCTTGGACAAAGCTGAAAAGTAAGGAAAATTCTTTACATGACTGTTACAGATAAGTCCACTTATAACAAGTCCTGAAATAACGAGAAGTCTGTTATAAAGACACTATTCTAAAACCCTGGGTTTTTTTCCTCCTTTATCTTTGTATATAAAATACTGCTTTAGCGCTACCATACAAACATACGAGTCAGTTATAGCGGAATTTGCTGCTGCTGTGCACAGCGCATAGGCCTCGCCAGTTGAGAAACGTGTTGGTGATCTAGCGATACAAAGAATGGGAGAGCCCATGTATGCCAACAATGAAGGCCGGAGCGAATGAGTGGGGAGGGTGTGGCATACGCAGACAAGCAGAACGCATCGCGTGACAGGCCAGCCTAGTCTAGATATCATCTAAGCCTACTATGCCTCTCGCATCTCCGGTGTGGGGATGGAGAGGACACAGTGATGTGATGCATGGAGCAAATGTGTGACATGCGCAAGCTTGCGGAACGTACCACAAAGTGTGGTGGGGTGTGGGACAACACAGCGGGGCGAGTTAGCCTAGAGCCCTTTCTTTCTGATCGCCAACGCCGAGCTGTTAGCATCGCTAGACCTTCAGTTAGAGAAAGTAACCTGATTCGATTTTTGATCAAGTGAGACCTCGAGGTCATGTTGAAGAAAATCATCCCCATGGGAGATAAAAAGAAATAAACAAAACACCAAACTCGTAGATTAGGCCTACTTTATTTTTCCCCCTGAATTTATTACTGAATCCCTCATAACGAGAATCCTGCTATAACGGACATTTTGCACCAGTCCCCTCCCTCTCCTTATAACAGGATTCCACTGTACATCACAGAAGAAGTTCAACAAAAACAAACATGCCCACCAATGTTAAGGATCTCCCCGACTGCTGAGCTTGAGAGGTGATTGATGTGAAAGTGCCAGGAGCTGGACCCCGTCCCTGTGCAGATGGTCACCCCAGAACTCTTCTGCTTCTCCTTGGGAGTCGTGTCAGTGGCAATTTCATAGTAGGACACTCTGGGAACAAAGGAAAGCAGAGACAGACCTTTCAATAAACACACTCAAAACATCTGACACGAAAAAGTTGTGCTTTTACCATTTCAGTTGTGAATAAAAGGCATCCAACACTGAAAACCTTATTATTAATCTGAATTCTTGTACCTCTGGAACCATATAAGGCAAACCATAATGTCTCTCGCATATTTTTCATCCTTATTTTTCCTCCTCAAAAACCAAATAGGAAACACCTTTTAAAGAATTACTTCTGCCTCCTAGATTGTTGCTTCCTGGTAGTAACTTTGTACCATTTCAAACTGCTAGAAAACAAGAAAATTATCATGAAAGTCTCTTTAGCAAAATGTGTTTTATGTGATGTGGGCCAGTAGCCTTAAACACTCTATAAACACCTACTTTACTTCAAAACAGAAGAAGAAAAAAGACAATCCACAATTGAACAGACCTGGACGATAACGACTCTCCGACGAAAACTTCGTTTAAGGCCAAGCACGGCAGTCTCCGCACTGGATACGTCTCCTTCTCTCCATTAGAAGGCTTCAGGACCCGAACCTGCTCATCCTCAGCAATATGTTCGATGAAGCGATGCTCGGGGAAGATAAGCTGCTGGTCGTGCAGCTCAATGGGGTCATCGTTAATATGCGTGCCAGACATGGTGACCTGTATTCTCTGTCTCCACTTCCACCTGGTACACCAAGAGAACAAAATATTAACATTTTGATACAATACACACTCATAACTTTGACTTACGTCAACATCATTCAGTTTCATCATATCAAAATGCATTTTCCAGGAGATCCTGTAATTTATACAGGTGGGTAAGTGAAAAGAGATAGCCAGCAAAGTGGATGGGGATTTGTTGCATTCGCCAACAATAAAATCATCCATAGTGCATCTGGAGTCAGCAGCAGGGCTACATAAAGTATGCGAATGGAAATTGAAGCCATCACGAAAGCACTTACATGGATGAACCAATATCGCACCATACAATCCATGCTGTTCTCATCATAGATTCCATGTGTACCCTTAGAAGGATCGAGAAAGGTTTCCTGAGACCAGAATGGATTCAACGCCAATAAGATCGCTCACATGGATTTTCTGCCCAGGCCATGCTGGCGTTAAAGGAAATGAAAAAGCCGACAAACAGGCTGGCTAGGCCACCTCAGTAGACATTATGGTTCAACCAGACAGGGTGGAGATCCTGAAATGTCTCTCTTGCCACTTGATTGAAGAGGAAGATAAGGAGGCAGAGGCCAGTACTGTTGTAGAGAGGATGATGGTTTTGGGAATACAAAATGGGAGTCGGAAAATCTGGCACCCTTGAAGGAAAGAACAGAATGCCATTCAACCAGATATGCACTGGCACAATCAGTAGAAAGACTTTCAGCGGCATTTTGGAGAGAGCAAGGGAACATCAATCGACATGTCCGGAATGCAGGGACGTTGCTTCCTGATACAATGAAATATTAAAGAATTTTCCTTGTTTTCATGACAAAAAACTTAACATAAACAATTAAAAAGGATCAATTGCCTAAAACTTAATGACAACCTGTACAAAGATAATATAAAAGGACATTTCAGCTAAAAAATACCACCCCCACCCCCCGCCCTCTCCCACTTCCTTTCCTAAACACAATGAACAATGATCCTCTCCATTTTCACATTATATATTTGCAGATAATTGGGAAGCAAAGTAGCCGTAGGAATGGAGCAATCCATGGTGTCCTTCATGAGGTAGTAAGTCTTTTGACCACTGGCTTAGTTAACAGTAGAGTTTTAAAAAATTAAGATCCAGTCATTAAAAAAATAACTTCAGTGACATAATACGTAATTCCTTCAAATAAACTAAGTTTACCAAAGAAAGAATAACATTGTGTATGTTGCTGTTACGTAACCAAGTTGAAGGGAACATATACCTATATTCGGTGGACAAATATTTCTTTTCAGTAGTTATAAACAAAGTGTGTTCAAAACACTCATACAGACAAGAAAGTTCTGAGCTTACCCAAAGTCTCCTTTCAAAAGCCGCTTCAGAGCATCCCCAAACTTGACAGCATTGTACTCACATTTGGGTAAGCAAAGGTGACCCTCAGATCTAACCAACAAAGAGTAGCAGGCGAAATAAATTACTGAACAACAACAAAAATTTCTTTTGATTATAATCCAAATCAGTTTTACAGCTATTATTAGAAACAGAAAAGACACTAATCATTTTAAAGGCAATAACTACCCACTCTGAGGAAAAATCTATATTTAGCTTGAATGAACCCTCAGTCAATTAACAATTATGACAAAACTGGATGGAAGGCAGTAAAACTGGAGCAATGACAATGCTAGCTCTGAAGTGCAGAGGAACGGGGGTGGGGGGGGGGGGGGGAGGGGTGGGGGTTGTTGCATTTCCTACTGGTGAGACAATTGACTTTTGGTATGCCCAAGCTTTCATTCAAGAAAATTTTCAAAAGTTTACTGTAACTGCTTTAAAGACACATTGCACATGATAATAAGAATTTCTTACCCCCCCCCCCCCAATGTTCCTTAAAAACAAACACACGGGTCTGTTTTTCTATGGGAGTAGGGGGTGGAAGGAGATATCAATGTCTACAATAGAGAGTTTAAAAAAATTATAGGTATAAAGATGTAGAACTGCCAAGAAGGGACAGTGACAGGTTTACTGGAAGCCAGTGTTGATGCAACCCCTAGTAAGCTTTCCACATCTCATCTGTAACAACATCAGCTATCCCTAAAACCTGTTCACCCCCCTCCCCCTAATCCCCCTCCCCACCCTTTTGCAGTTAAATAGGCTGCTTGTCAATTCTCCATTAGTTTAAGAGCCACAATGGGATAAATCAGGCTTTCTGAAGAGGGACACAAATAAACAATTAACTGAACTCTTCAATATGTTTTATTTGTTCATAACACAACCCTTTAATCAATCAGAAAGGATTTTTTTTTTTTTAAACCTAACTAATTTGTTGGTTCCACTGTGAGGTAGTGTTCACCTGTCAGGATCTGTGTTGATGCCAATCAGAGGCTTGCTGGTGTTGACAAATTTGTTAGCAGCTAACAAGTACGTGCCATCTCCCCCAGCTGTGAACACAACATCAGCCCAATCCAAAGCACTCCGATCAAGGTAAAATCTTTGAACGACTCGAGCTTCGATGTTTGCCTTCCTGAAAATATATTAAAGGGGTGATCAAATTGGCTCCTATACAAAACACAGGCAGAGAAATGAAGAAGTAAGAGCAGCTGTCAGCACTGAGTCCTGCCGACATTACATAGAAAGACAGAATAAAAATGGATTGGCCACCTGTTTCTTATGTCACCTGGCCAGTCAGCCTCGAGAGCCTACAACACCAAGCACTCAGGATACAAACGAAGAGGAAGGCCATGCAAAAGGTGGACGAGGGTGTCAACGAAACCATGAGAAAACATAATATCACAACTGAAAGAGCTGCGGAGCTGGCGTAACATAGAAAACTGCATCTCTCCTCGACACAACAGAGGATGAAAAAAAAAAGGTAAAAGTAAGTACAAAACACTTATTCAAATCTGAAAAGTGAAAGATAAAAACATCATATCCTTCAGGCTAAAACACAAACTTATTTTAACTATTTGACTTCTGCTGTTTACCCCGACGTGATAAGGCCCTCGGCTGGGAATGCCCCGCTGCAAACTAAAATTCCACTGCCGGTGCGCCTTGTATTGTCCAGATCCTGGCACATAAATTGGTTTGGTGTTTCACCACATACACACAATCACACACGCATACACACACAAAAACATGCACACACAGACAGTTTTACAGTCACACGCATAATATATATAAATAATAATAATGTTAAGCTAGACAAGACATACTCAGTATTCTGTTTGTAACTCAATGTTATTCTGATGCATGCTCTAAGGCCATGTGAATACTCTTGTGCATCAATTCAATAGCTCAACATGAAGTTTAGTTATGAAAAAAGTGCAAAGTACAGATGAAAATTATCATATATGCATGTGTAGTGTGTGTTAAGGGGGTGATAAATATTTTCTATTTAAAAATCAATTCAATATGCCCCAACTCTCCCTTTCTACACAAAACAATACATAATATAAATACTTCATGTAATACGAACGATTTAAAGACAACAACAACTTACTGCAGTTCCTTTCTCACAACATCCAGGGCATAGTAGTGATTCTTGTGACGCTCGAGGAGACCGAAATAATCAGAGTCTTTGGATTCAAGCTTAAAAAGAAGAAACAAAGAGCAAAAAATTGAATGAAGAATTCATATTGTATTTACTTAGTGTTATCACTTTTAAATTGTTTGTAATTACCTCAAATTCTTGAGACTTTTTGCAAGAGAGCATTTTTAGTCAAAACTTCCAGTAGTACAATTAACTAAATGAACATAGACCCCAACTTATCAATTATGCTTTTTTCTCTTAATGAAAGCAAAATATAGAATCTCTCTTAACCAATTTTCACAAACTCATTTTGATTTATAACTACTTAATTTGAAATCTATGTCGCAAGTTTACGTCAACGTCCATTGTTACTTTGTTACAGATTAGGTAAACAAAAACAGTGACCAGTCACCTCAATACGATTGGTGCATGAGTTGTCAGCGGGGCTTTGTATATATATTGTTATGATGGATCATGCTTTCCTCACCAGCAGTTGAAAATTTGTTGTTAGACCTACCCATTGGTCAACTTTGGGCTTAACATTCACTGGAGTGACTAACAATAACGACAAGGTGAATGGATTATGACGGCCGTCCACGCCGATTCAAAATTTATGACAAAGCATCGGGCAATGCGAGACTGCGCCTGGCCACCAAAGGCAGGTAAATTTGACAGTGGGCTGATAAAATAAAGTGCCCTCCCCAAACCTTCGTGGTGTGTTAATTTGTGAATCTTTTTTAACAATCTCAGCAATTCTCATTCCATAAATTTAGCCTGTACCAGCACCATTCTGTATCTTCTCTTTTCCACCCCAAACAAAGTTGTACACACACACACACATGCAAACACACACACAAACCCCAAGCAGTCGTATTGTTAGTGCCGTAACCCATTAAGCGCTAAAACTAAAGCGGCAAGGCGGGCCTGCCACGACGGGGACAAAAGACCATAGTAGAACTGCAATATTTTGGTAGTAGAGAATCTTTGGTATTATGGCATGGAATTGCGTGCGTATAGCAAAAAAATGTGTTGGTGCACACAACTGCGTGTGAACAAGACACTCCCGTGCCCGTTAGGGCCCCATAGTATAGCCACAGACTTATTGTGTAGGCCTACTTTACGACCATATTAAAACTAAAGAAGTGGCTATCCTCACCCGCGGTGAGAATAAAAATACGATCGGCTATTCTCACCCGGTTTGAAACAAGACCTGTTTTTCCTAATTTCGGAATACAGTCTGTTGGTGTGGATGATCAAAGTGACAAAAGCAAAGAAAAAATGACGATAGCACAAAAGTAAGCTAATTTGATCGTCTACAAAGATGCCATAGGTATTTCCCTTTTCGAATCGAGCCCAACAACTGTTTTTGCCCGTAAGTTCTAGCAAGATCCACTCCTCCTCCTCCTCTCTCTCTGTCTTTCTGAATACCCTCTATCGGTGTGACAATCAAATTGACAAAAACAAAGATTAAAAAATTGGGATAATCCGGTTTTGGCCCCAATGATTACTATGGAGTATGGGTTTTGACTCCACCGAGCGACTAAACGATTACTTTTCAGTGCGCGTGTCGATACGAAGTCTGACGCGCGGCGAGCGAGAGGGATGGCGCACAGCGAGAGAGAGAGAGAGGGGGAACGCCGCATGGCGTTGGTTGCTGGGTGCGTAGGGTCGGCGAATGATAATGAACGTAATATAATATACTCCGGTTTTAGCTCCAGTTAGTAATGCCGAAGAAAGAATAATTAACAAAGGCGAAGAGAGAACTGGGGCCAAAACCGGAGTATAGTATAATGGGCAGCTCTTTACAAATTTTACAAATACTCTGGGTCTAAACCAAATAAGTAATTTTAATTAAAGGACGAAAACATTGCTGAGGCAAAGAGGGGTATTGGGACTCAAACCGGATTTTAAGACAAATAGATACTAGATGATCTAAATGGTTTAACTTTTGTGGAGATATTTAAGAAAAAGAGTTAGGGGGAGGGGGGTAGAGTCGCTGATTATTGGAGCTTTGGGGTTAGAGCCTTGGGGCTTTGGGGCTAAAGCCGGAGAGTAGTAGATCTACAGTAATAAAGAAGCTGACCCAACTTCCCATACATAAATCTACACCAACTCCACGTTTCTATTAACGCTGATGTTGAGGCACCGCCACTAATGTTTTTCAACAAAGACAACAGCACAGCGCACAGCAGAGGGCAGGTTTCATTTTTTCTTATCTCTGCTGGAATCAATCAATGAAAGAGGCGGTGAAGCAGCCTGCAGTGGTTGGGTTTTGATTACCCATGGTGCGAACCCCCAGCCCCACCGTTTAGATCTAAACTACGTAATGATTCAGTGTGCATCCAATGAAAAGCAGCAGTGCTTGAGAGATGATCAATCAGAGTCCAGATTAAGGTAGGCTATAATTAGTGGCTAGGCCTACCGTAATACGAGGTAAGTGAACTGTTTGAAAACTTATTGTTTTACAAAGTAACCAATGAAAAGAAGCGTTTTTGGACAACGGTCAATCAGAGTTCTGATCAAGGCCTATGAGGTAAGGGAGCAATTTGAAAACTAATTGTCCAATGATTATTCTTAATCATAAATCTAGATCTAATCAGTTCTAGCATTTGCATTCATTCTGTTCTCTTGTCTTTGAGTGTTCTGATGCCGCACCTCGTGTTAATTATGATTCAAGTGTTCTTTTGTGATGGCTGGTAATTTCAACGTGAAGAAGGATTATATTGATTCAATTAATCTTGGAGATATTTATTATAATCCTTATAATTTTTTTCTGATTCTTTTGCAAGAGGACAAAGAGTTTTATTTGTGGCTTATTAAGTTTGGACTTCTTCCAAGTGAGGAGAGTTTTGCTTGTGACAAGTGTTCAAGTAGTTTAAAACTTTCCTATAGAAGTGACAAACGCATTTGTTATAGATTTCGTTGCAAAAAAAAAACATGAATTCACTGTAAGTATTCTTTTTTTGAACGTTCGCATGCAGAAATTCGGGACATCCTGGTTTGTATTCGATCATATTTATTGGGACTGTCTTTAAATAAATGTGCATCCGAAAGCGGTTTACACTATAAGAGTACATGTGTTGACTGGGCAAACTTTGTACGAGACATTTTTATTGAAGTTGTGTACAAAACTTACCAGACTGTTAAATTTAGTGGCACAGTTGAGATTGACGAGTCTCTGTTTGGTACCAAGGTCAAATACAATAAAGGGCAGCCACATGGGAAGAGGGTGTGGATCTTTGGCATTGTGGAACGAAGATCTTTATCTAATCGCATTTTATTGTTCCCAGTGGAAAGTAGGGACGAAGCAGCTTTACTTCCTATTATTAAAAAGTTCGTCTAGCCTGGTTCAACTATCTCTGCCGTCGATTTTTGTATTTTTACATATTTCATAGAGTATTTAATTCTGCATCTGATGGTGTAAAAATTTTAGTCATATCTTAATCCGTTGTTGCGTAATTGAGAGTTCGTCGTTTTCCCTTACACTGGCGAGCTCCGAGCCAGAGCTCAGTGTAAGGGAGAACGACGAATGGTCGATCGGTCAAGGATCACTGCTCGTTCGGCGTTGTCCCCTGGTCTCTGCCGTTGGGCAAATTCGTCATGGCCGACGAATGACAAGTGATCACTGTTGCGTCAGTACAAACATATTAAGCTTTTTTAACAAACAAACATACCACCACTCCCTCCCCTGTAGTACCGTCGATGGTTTATAAGAATGTATCTCTTAGTGTGTCTTTCTGTCTGTCTTCACGTATTAGTGCTGATGGTGTGAATTGACAAGAGCAGGCGGGAGAGAGGGGAAAACGGATGGGAACAGGGGGAAAGGGGTGGGGATGGAACGGTCAAAACAGTATTTAGGGAGAAATTCATTAGCACTGCATATTAGTGTCCGCCAGATGTTCACAGACTAACGTCATGTTACTTTGCTGTCCAGTCATTTGACATCCCAAATCATAACGATGGCTATAGTGCCGCAATTTGTCCAGCACATGTCACTGGTCGACATCATTATAGAATTACCAAGCAATTAATGACACTGCGTTATGAGAGTAAATTTCTTTGTCCAACTTAAAAAGTGGAGGCATTGTGGCGACACTTAGTCTTGCTTTACGATTTTTTATGACTTGATGGACGTTACGATCGAGTATAATAATGTCTTGCAGATTCAAACCGTTCCAGTCGATCTCTACTTTGTGGTATGTTTTCCGATCAGCTGAATCCTTTATTAACATACAAAGCGTCCCATTACCTCTCCCGAAAGCGCGTGTGATACAGTCTTGTCAGATTGTTACATTTCTTACTTGAAAGTTTCATTTTGCAATGATCTGATCGTATTATTGACATTGTAACATTGTTGATCCCTTTGGTCGGGCAGGGAAAAATTTGCAATTAGCGAAAATAAAAGTAAAACTCGCTTCTGAAGAGAATACAGTAAAGAGATATCGTGGAAACCAAACTTTGGTTCCGAATGAGACAGTTTAAATCAAGCTGCTGAAAATGTGTGCACATCTGATTTGTACACTGACTGTGTAGTTTGATCAAGCGGCGAAGGGAAACGAAGGACGTTTACCGAGTTACAGTTGGGATCTAACAAACACCTAACTTTATACGCATAATAGCTAGTTTGTATACGTTTTATTTTTATTTGTAGTAACCAGTACACAGTCATTACTGTCAATAATGCGTCAAAACTGACCATCGCCTACGCCCATAAACGTTCACGAATGTAAGGGAAAACGACGAACCGTACCATTCGTCGTTTTCGCTTACATCGCAAGGCTCACCTGCGGGTGCGTAGTGTAAGGGAGAACGACGAATGTCGAATAACTTTGCTACTTTTTAACCTAAACCATTCAAACTTTAGAAACTGCTTTAGGAACATCTCAATCAGATATCTGGTGAATTACAGCTTAAAAGAGTGGAAAATAGAAGAGTTATAAAGTGAAACAAGTTTTTGCCTCTCCTGAAAAATTTGCCTCGCTACCTGCGCAGGACCATTCGTCGTTTTCCCTTACGACGGCAGATCTACTCTGACGGTTGGGCCTCTTATTCTTCCCAAAACAGTGAAGGACACCAGCATTTTACTGTTTTGCACAAGTGGTCCTTCCGTCAGTTGTACCAGAATCGATGTACAGGGGAGACTGTGGAGGTCCACACAAATCAAACAGAGGGCGCATGGGCACACGCAAAGCAACACTTCCGGAAGATTTACGGTACTTCCGAAGCCAATTTTGAGAGCCATTTATGTGAAGTGCTGTGGAGTAACTGGAACTCCAAGGGCAAATTGTTAGAAAATTTTTTCGCAGTGGCTATTTTTACGGCGTGCCGTAAAGATAGCCTCCCAGTGAGTCCCAGGCTATTTTTACGGCGATCCTCGAAAAGCGACCCTACTCCGCCTCTCATGTACGCGACATGCCTCAATGTATTAATCTAGGCCTATAGTAGGAGCCGTTCAAAATATAAACTTACACCTCAGAGGGGAAAGGGTGTCTTTGGCTTCTGTAAGAAATGTGTAAGATTGGGTGGGGGGGGTTAACCAAATATGACACTTCTGTGAGATGAACGTTTTGCTCATGACTGGGAAGAAAAGGTAAAAGAAAAAGTGGATAAATGCCAGTGACAAGACCCAGATCTGCATGATGACTGCAGATCCCCGTTGTTGTTGTTTTTGTTTTGTTTTTTAGAGGAAAGGGGGGGGGGTGGTTGCAAATAATTTTGAAATTATGATGAAAATTCTGTCGGTGGATATCTAATTTCTTAATGTTTCTTTGTAGCTTTGCAACTGTTTTGTTGATCTTTTAATGTCTTGATGTCATTTATTTGTAAAGCATGTACCTATTGCATTGACAAGAGTCTCAATGTCTTCCATATTTATGCGTTCTTTCTAGTTCATATGGTTTGATTAAATTGTATTAACTGAAATGGTATTTTTTTTTACAAGCTGGTTAAAAAACGCCACGTATAGTAGGCCTACAGGTATGTTTAAAATAATAATGGAAGTTGAAGATCGGAAAAAGTACTAATTGAATTGGTGTGGAAGAGGGTTGGAGGCAAATATGAGAAAAGTGGTATTTGGGTTTTGTGTTTTAAAAACGTCCCCAAAAGTGTAAGATTATATTTGAACAGCCTCATAGGTTTTCCTTTCCTCCTCTTCACCATCATCATTCTATTCTCTTCTTCATCTTCCTTCTCCCTTCCTCCACCACCACCTTTTCCTTCTTCTCCCCACCAACATCATTCACCCTCTCTTTATCATCACCACCACCATCACCTCCTCGTCATTATCATTACCATCACCACTGCCACTGCCAGCATCATCATCTCATTCACAGACATCACTACATTATGTACCACACCCACAAGAAGAGCGGCCATTTTGGAGTTAACACTTTTCGCCTTGGGAATGCCTATATAAAATGTTCCTCCTTCCTTTGCACTGAGCAGATTTTTGATAGAGGTGTAAAATATTTTTTTGTTGTTCACAGTGATTAATTTATTAATTATTGTGATGCAATTTCAGGGTACAGGAACACATATATATTTTTTTTTCATTTAAATATCAAAATTTTGCTCAGTACGATTGACCATAGTATCTGTATCTACCATTCCATGAATTTTCATGCAATTTTGTTAGATGGTAGAAGCCTTCGGTTTTTAAAAATAATTGTTTGTTTTGCATGTTGGTTCTGTTTCCATTCCATGGCAACTTTCATATTTTCGGACTTATTAAAATTTACTTTCTTCATTATTTCTTATGCCCGTATAATTTTTTTTCCTAAATATGAATCGGAAAAAGAATCACCCTTGGGGTGAGCTGTTCCCCGTAAAAATGGACAGTAATAATATGAGCACATCAGAAAACAAAAAAACAAAAACTTAAAAAATGCGATCTATTTTATTATTTGAAAGAATCCCACAACAACAAGGTCCTAGTAAAGAACATAAAAACATTGAATTGTTTTAAAGTCCAGAATAAAGACTATAATTATGAAGCCAAAGACACCCTTTCCCCTCTGAGGTGTAAGTTTATATTTTGAACGGTCCCTACTATAGGCCTAGATCTAATACATTGAGGCATGTCGCGTACATGAGAGGCGGGGTAGGGTCGCTTTTCGAGGATCGCCGTAAAAATAGCCTGGGACTCACTGGGAGGCTATCTTTACGGCACGCCGTAAAAATAGCCTGGGAGGCTATCTTTACGGCTCGCCATAAAAATAGCTACTGCGAATTTTTTTCGGGAAATCAAGTTCATTTATCCCTTGACTGGACCCCCTTGTATGAGTGCCCAGAGACCAGTTTTCAAAACCTGGGTGTCTAGAGGTGGCCAAAACTAAGAAAGTGGCTATTCTCACCCGCCCGGAAGTTCTCGCAAGATCAACTCCTCCCCTCTTCTCTCTCTCTCGGTCTCTTTCTGAATACTCTATGGCCACCTCTATTCTCACCCGTGATGAGAATAGTGCAGGCGAGTCTTTTGGCTATTCTCACCCGGTGCGCGTTCACCGTTATTATAGCCTAGATCTAGAATCTAGATCTAGGCCAACAAATTTTGCGTTCATCCTAAACCACAGAATTCTACACTGTGATAACAGAAAAATTGTAGAATTCTGTGCCGTGAACAAACGTTCCATTACAACTGTAGCCTACTAAAAGCGTACAATTTTGTCTGTGGGCAGTCGAGAGAGAGAGAGAGAGAGAGAGAGAGAGAGAGAGAGAGAGAGAGAGAGAGAGAGAGAGAGAGAGAGAAAGAGAGAGAGAGAGAGAGAGAGAGAGAGGAGTAGCGCGAGAATTTCCGGTCAAAACAAAATGGCGACCCGCGTAGTTCGGCTCGATTCGAAAAGTTAAATAGCCGTAGCACCTTTGTAGACAACCAAATTAATTTACTTTTGTGTTTTAACATCATTTTTAAACTTTGTTATGGTCAATTTGATCGCCCACACCGATAGACAGTATTCAGAAAGAGACAGAGAGAGAGAGAGAGGGGGGAGGAGTAGATCTTGCGAGAACTTCCGGGCAAAACAAAATGGCGACCCGCGTAGTTCGGCTCGATTCGAACAGTGAAATAGCCATAGCATCTTTGAAGACGATCAAATTAGCTTACTTTTGTGCTAATAACGTAATTTTTTCTTGGCTTTCATCAATTTGATCATCCACACCGATAAACAGTATTCCAAAATGAGGAAAAGCAGGTCTTGTTTCGCACCGGGTGAGAATAGCCTACGCTGGCAAGTCTCACCCGGGGTGAGAGGTAGATCGTTTTTCTATTCTCACCCCGGATGAGAATAGCCACTTCCATACTCTATCGGTGTGGACGATCAAATTGACCAAAAGAAAGTTAAAAAATGATGTTAAAACACAAAAGTAAATTAATTTGGTTGTCTACAAAGATGCTACGGCTATTTAACTTTTCGAATCGAGCCGAACTACGTGGGTCGCCATTTGTTTTGCCCGGAAATTCTCGCGCTACACCTCTCTCTCTTTCTCTCTCCACTGCCCACAGACAAAATTGTACGCTTTTAGTAGGCTACAGTTGTAATGGAACGTTTGTTCACGGCACAGAATTCTACAATTTTTCTGTTATCACAGTGTAGAATTCTGTGGTTTAGGGTGAACGCAAAATTTGGTGAACGCGCACCGGGTGAGAATAGCCACAAGACTCGCCTGCACTATTCTCACTCCGGGTGAGAATAGAGGTGGCCCAAAACTAAACAGTAGGACCGTCCAAGAAAAGACAATTGCATCTGAACTCATAATAATATAGATCTAAAAATCTAGATCTACAACTTTTGAAAAAAATGAGAGACTCAGAGAGGTTGAAAATAAAGGCAACTTACATACTCCATGAATTCTTTGTCAGACATGCCATCGCACAATTTCCTCTCGTATTCATACCGAGTCATTTTTGTTAAAATAACGGCACGTTTTGGCTGGAACAGTGGTGCAGCATCGTCACCCAAATTAAGACCCTGTCCATTACTTTTTAGATGAGCTAATTCCAAGCTATGGCTGTTTTTACATCTCGCCGGCATATAATTCCAGGATCTGTCGTGAAGTGACAGCGAAGGTACACCACACAGTTTCGACTGAGATTCATTCCGAACCACAACAGTGGAGTATTGTTTAGACAATTTTAAGAGGTGCAGCGCTCTGAAAAGACTGGAATTTCGCATAACTGACAACTATTTTTTTTTTAATTTAGGGATAGTATCCTTTAAGTGTAACACGTGCTAGATCTACATAGTATTTGAACCCAAGCCCAAGCGCTGTTGTGGTCATCGGCTTGTTTTGTTTGTATCGCTCGGGGCCATTTTGCTTTCTTGTAAAGCTAGGTACATGTTTACTTCCTCCGTGGCCTCCTTTTCAAAACGTTATTGTTGGGAAATTAACGCTCTTTTGGCCTACATATGTTATTTAGAAAAATAAATTGCATAAAAGACTTTACACGGTGTATTTTGAGCGATTAGTAAAGGATCATGCGAAAGTTTCAACCGGAAAAACAATTTGTCAGCTCTGGTTTAAATAGCCACGACAGCTGTGAGTCCAGTGTGCCGACAACATTGTCGGCGTGTTATAAATCGTGGCATGTTTCGATTAATGGTAGGGTTGAAAGTACAGTTCCCTCTTTAGTTTTAATATGTTACCCCTCCACAGCGGAGATAAGTACCGGCCAGGATCAAAGTTAAAAGAAAATGTGTGTGGCTGGATCAGGTGAGCTTTGCATTTCCGTATGGTTACTTTTCTTTTCCAGCATTTCAATCTCCAGAATTCTATTCTAGCAGAGAATCAGATAAGAACGTGAGTCGTGTGCCGGTGTCACTGTGCTGTCATCACCAGACCCACTGCTACTTGTAAGCCACCGAGGGGGGGGGGGGGGTTGCTGTGACATATTAGATTCAGTAATCTCAGTTATTCTGGCCAAGAACTTTCCACCTGAGGCACCTGAGGGAGGGAAGACGGGAAGATTTTCCTGTGATTTTGTTTCTGTCTAAAGGCTCTTTGAAAGTGAGCTTTGC